CATTACATCTGGAGGTTCTTCCACTGCCAGTGGCCTGTACATGCTTCCCTCAATCTTTGCCATGGATTTGTTTTTTCTTTGCCTTTCATCCCAGATGGATGACTTTGTGCAAAGGACAACATTTATTACATCCTCTAAAGAGAAACCATGGCTAAGTGTGATGAATGACTGATGAATTTATCAGTCTGTGATGAATGCAGTGGCTTTTACATGCCCTAACAAATTTCTCTCTCTCTCTCTCTCTCTTTTCTCTCTCAACCCCACACGTGCTCCCTTCACCTTCCACCCATTCCTTCAAAACAACCAAATAGGTAAGTGACTGAATTTTTTTATTTCTCTGCACACTTTACACTATAGGTAATTTGATACATTGGATTATTTGTGGTATCACAAACAAAACAAGTGGTTTCCACACATTTGATTCTCTTGTTGCTATGACACACTTACAGCTTGTGCTTTACAACTGCAGTAAACTTTATTGAAATCGGCAACCCCTGGCAGGGACTGTCCCTCAGTTTACGGACCATTTTGTTAACTCGTGATGCAGAGAAGAGCGCAGGGAAAAATCCTCACTGGCCAATTCCTCCTGTTGTTGAAAAGGAGTTCCTGGAAAGCACAGCAACGTCATTCTGGCAGTGTCATTTCATTTAACTGTTGGGTGAAAAGGATAACTGCAAGGTTTAGTGACTTATAAATTGATCACATGAAACATTCAGACAGGAGGCAATGCTTCTCTCCTGCAGTGTTTTGTTTATTTCTTGGCCATGAATCAGGTTTAAAGACAAGGGACCTGTTGGGAACACTTGCCACCTTTTTTTGCAGGCGAAATATTTCTTGCATGTGAAAATGGGGGTGGCTGGTACAACAAACTCCGTTGATAGACCAATTTATGTCATAGCAGTTCAGAGAACGTTCGGAGTCTTCGTAGACGGTTTTACTCTGGTCCCGTCCCTTTTAACGAAGTATAATTTGGTTCCTCATTAGACTGTACAGCAGACATCATTATCATTTCCTTCTCTCACGTTTCTTACTAAATCCCTTTGTGCATTTTGCCACCAATCGAGGCCCTCTCTCTCTTTAGCACAAAAGCAAGAGCTCATCTGTCTATCAGGCTTTATTCCATCCTTCTGTCTTTTGATTTTTTTCCCCCCCACTTTTGTCTTCCTTTGTCCTTTTAAAATAATGAGAACCATCTCCGCCTCGCCCCTTTCATGCTGCCATCGCTTGGTCTACACAGGATGCCTATCAAAGCCGGCGCATCTCCGTGCTGTCATTTAGCTCACACCTCATAAGGCGGGAAAAGGGAACAAGATGGCGTTTGTAGTGCCTTACAACAGGAGCTGCTGCGTCGCAATTTAATTTTCCCATTTGATCTTTCCAAATAGCTGTATTTAGGAAACATGAGCCTGTTTAAATTCATGAGGTCAGATGGTGTGCGTTTTGTAATTGGAACCATTAGGCACTTTATGGACGCTGCCTTCTAGACACATTGCGATAATGGTGACATCACAGCGTGAGCGCAAAATGTCCGCTACCCGGGCCAACGCCGCAAAGACAAAAGCAGTAAAAGAGTTGTTTGAAGGTTTTAGTAAAAAAAAGTTTAAGGCAGTTTTCCGACTGTCCTGCGTTGATAAACCGTCCTTTGTTTTGGGCAATAATAGGATTTTGTATTTCATTTTACTGAATAGGCTTCAGCAAAGTGAGTATTCACCAATTTCGTGAGAAATACACATTGTCAGGTTGATCTTTTCAACATGCTATAAAAGAACAATGTGATCAAGAAACGCTTTACCACCAAATCGCTAACAATTCAGTTTCTTCCTTTCATATTTTCTCAGACGTAGTGCTCACATATAAGAATGCTGATAAAAGCTGTGGGTTATGTGTGGAGGGATTTTAAAGGAAAAGGGAGCGAGTTTTTGTAGGAAATAAAGCAGTAGCGAAAAAAAAAAAACATTCACAAACTAAGAAAGGTATCAGCAGGTGGTAGCTGTACCTCTTTGACATATGACCCTATTCTGGGGCTTTAAAGTCTGATGAGCTGAGCCATTGGCCATTGGTGCCACTGTCATTTCCACAGAGGGTGCATCAGTGTACACTTGCTACAGTACCAACAGCTAATCAAAATGTATTTATCATTCTTAAATGAGCAACTGGAGTATTTAAGTGAATTAAAAATAAACAAAAAGAAAGCAGTGGAAAAATGTGATTACTATTGACATCTAGTGGCGTGTCAGATGTTGAGGGTTCATGGGCTAATAGTGGCCTCCAGGTCAGAAGTTTGAGACCTCTGCCCTTGTCATTAGGACCTAAAAGACACTCACCTTTTCTTCATTAGGTAAAGAGGCTGCAGGCAGCAGTTTTTGTATTTGACTGTAAATGGCACACAGCACTTGATGTATCATGTAACTAGCCCAACTCCGGTATTTGAATGTTACATATGACTGACATCAGCCTTCAGTCCATTCTGTATGTCCATGTAAAAGTATCCAAATTTGAGTCTAATAACGCTCATGTCTTAACATTTTTCTTTAAGGATGACTTCATATTTTGACAACAAAATAGAAAAAAACAACATGGCTAGGACATTTAAAGGCAATAGGTGTTAAATACATGGCTACTTTTCTGTTTTTTCAATAATAAAAATAAGAGGGCAGTATATGGGTGTGTGAATGTAGCTCTAGTCAAAATACTAGAAAATAATAATCATAAAAAAGTTAATAAATAAAATATATGTATGCATATGTTTGTGTATAGATTAGTGGTTGTATTGTATATAGTCTGAGATGATTTAACCCCCACATACACATAGACACACACAATGTGTTTGTTACAGCTGTAAGTCTAAACTTGTGTTTATTCCTAAAAACAAGGTCAGTCCTTTTTTTCTTTCTTTTCTGCTTTATTTGCGTTTTCACGAAAAGTGAGTGTCATCAGAAACGCTCCCTGCACACTGCCCAACGCCCTTTAACTGACCACTGCTGTAAACCAGGGGTTTAAGATGTTAAATAGGCCGGACCAGTACAATCATAACATAAATAACTTTAAATAACAAACCCATGTATTTACCCCTTTGCCCTAATGCAAAGATGGGATATATTTTTGATATGTATTCATATTTATTGAAATATTATTTAAAAAAAAAATATCCTGAACATGAAGTCTTCATTTATTTGCTTATTTTTAAAATTCATCAAGCAGGCCAGACTGAACACCCTAGTGGGCCGGTTTTGGCCCACAAGCCATATGTTTGGCTCCCCTGTTGTTAAAAAAAAAATCTTCCGGAGATATGCTTACTCATTTCAGCAATGAGATGAAAAAAGCATATGTAGTGAATAAACTGAATGAGAAACATGGCAGTACAATCACAGATTGCTCCCTGCCCTTCATCTTGAATCGTTTGTTTCCCTGTGGAGACGATGTCCTTGGAGACCTGTGCAGCACTGCAGGCACGCACTCAATCCTATCAGCTCTCATCATCTTCAGACTACACACTGTCTGCGCACGGCTCTTTGCTGAGTGATTGTAGAAGCTTCTCTTTGGATTGGTGTAAATCAAAATTTCCCCCAGCACACCATTTTTCTGATATTCTTCCAGACCTCAGCAAAGGCTTGAACATCATTTTAAAGGTAAACAAAGGGTAAAGGCTAATGTACCAATTCCTTTTTAATGACGTTTGAAAGCCTGCTAACATTGTGTTTTTAAAGGAAACATTATATTTAATGGACTACTTTGATAAGATCAAACTTAAGTCAGATACTTTTATAGAACAGTATTTTCTATTTGGACTTCAGAGTTCTCTCTGAAAATATATATTGTCCGTAAGGTATACAAGTATTGCTAGTTTTGATCAAGTGTATATTGTACCTTGATGTTAGTAAAATGATTTGTTTCACACAGTTTCCATGGCATTCCCTTTAAATGGTAACCAGCCACTGAAGGCTCCGCCCACTTAAGCCACGAGGGAAAGACACGAGCACAGTTTAGCACAACAGTAGCAGCAGTTGAGCAATGAGGGGGTAATGGTTGCCAGACAACAAACTGTGGTCTAAGAGGAAGAAGCTCAAGAAATTAGTCAAGAGCCGAGAATGTTTCTCGCTGGTTAGTTGTTGTGTTACTCTGATATTGTAGACTAACGAACGATGTCTGTCTACTCGGTTCTACTCATAAAGCTCGTGTTCATTCAGCACACTGCTAAATTAGCTGCCATGCTTAACATCTGGTCTGTACATGATAGTGGCGATCCTTGCACAGCTAGGAATGGTATTACAACCCAATACAAGGGACACAGGAGAGACGTGACCAGATTCGGTCAGGTTTTTAACCATCTTAGTTGTCAGAAATGTCATTTAAGGAGTAGGCAGACATTCAGGCCATGCTAATGTGTGCACTAAATCCCCAACAGAGTCAGTTTTGCATAAATTACCCCCTTTTTCAAGAGCCGCAGGTGAGTGAATATCATGCGTGTGCCACGTATGAACAGCGATTCGGCGCTGTGGGGAGAAGAGCTGGTGATTTCACCGGTGCTTTAAATGACCCCGCTATCTGCCTCGCATTAAACACAATGCCCTGAAATCGGCGCTAAGCCTCCAGCCTCTGTGCAATCCACTTAGCCTTGAATAGCACTAAATTAGCAGTTGGCTTTTTCACTTCATGCCTCACTAAGGCCAAAGGCGAGTTAAGAACTTTTTTTTTCACTACTTTTTTTTTTTTAACCAGAGGTGAAGACTAATACAGCTTGAAGGAAATGTGTTTTTAATTAACATACCTCAAGGCTGGCCCCCACACTGGGGCCTATGATTAATTAGATAGGACAAATTCAGATGATGGAGCCTTTGGGCCGCCCTGCTTGCTTTGGTAATTCTTTAGACACGTCATTAACCCAAGATCTTTTAACGTAACGTCATTTCTTTTTTTTTCACTACTCATTTTTTCATGTGACCTGAAAAAACAAAGAAGGCAAGGTTTTGTTTTGTCACTGTTAAAAAAAAACAGTTTGACGTGAACTGTGACTCATGGTTAAGTCACAGTTTGCATCAAACCAACAACACCTTTCCTACCTTCCTGTTCTTGAAGTTGATTTCAGTCTTGACTACTGGTAGCGTTGGTGACAGTGTTTAGACTTGTTTTCTGATACAGACAAGTGGGGCTTTTTTAGGTCCATTTTTATTTTAAGGTTATAATACATTTTTCATCTGGTAACATCGTGATATTATGTGTTTGTTTTGCCGCTGCGTCATTAATCCTTTATCACACTGTCTGACAGAGTCCAACCTTCTCCTGCAATGACATCCGCCTGCATTAGCTGAGATTACAGGAGTGGCGTGATGGCAGAGATGATGTAGCAGAAATGGAGTTGCCTTGTCTTGTTATTAAATCTCCAGGAAAATGGAAGGACGGGGAAAGATAAACATCATTAGACGAAATGAAAAGGGAGGAAAGAGAATAAAAACATTCCTAAATGTAAAAAGTCATTGCTACAAGACAAACCACACACTTGGCTTAAGTAGCTCGGTATATTTTATAAAATGTTACCACGCACAATGCGGGATTAATAAAAGTGCTCAGTAGCTCGGGGCACAGCACCAAATGCCTGAAGATTACTTAGTCAAAGATTAGATCTTTCATGTCTTCTGTCCCATTGGTTTAATTCAGAAGTCTTTAAGTACGGCAGGCTTAAATAATGCAGTTTTAGTTTTTTAACGTTTCACAATTATCCGGCTTAAAACAGGTCCATTTCCTAAATGTTAACTTAAATTTAATTGCAGCCGTTTAAAACTGAAGAATAATTGCTCGGAAATGTTTCCAGTCCTCGATTCACAGTGGTAATGATGTTGCTGAGAATGAATTATAGTGTTTCCAACTACCTCTGTACATTGTGCTAGTAGACATATAAGTGAAAGAATTTCAAACAAAGTATCTAAGTAAACAAAACTTCCTTGAACAACAGTACATTAGCAGTGACATACGAATGAGAAGAAAATATTTGCCGTCCTTGATTCTTTTACTACATACACAAACTAATTACATAAGCTTCTCAAAAAAAAAAAAAAACAATTGTCAAGTCCAAATCATTTGTGCTAGGCTAACATTGCTGTTATAATAAGCATTTATAAAGCTTTTATTTCGCTTTTTTTAACCAAGAGACAGTCAATAAATAAAGAGAAGCCAGTACTTATTTCTTAGTTTTCGAGGATATAACTACAGTATATTGCTGTTGGACTGTCCACTGTCCAAACTTTCCAGATCATTTTTTCTGTCATATTAGACAAATGATGGAACGGTTTTATGCACACAGGAAACAGTTAAAGGGCACTGCTAAGGAACGTCCCTGAGGTTTGTAGCACCCTTCAGATTTAAACAGAGTGGGAACACGTCGACCTGTGTGAACCAGCTGATCAACAGCAGCTGCTTCTACAGGTTAATGGATTGTTGTCTGTCTGCCGTTCACTGGGAAGATTTACAACCGTCCGTGATCACAGGAACGTTAACATCATCCTTTTTTCTTTTTTTTTTTTTTTTGCTGCTTCTACGTGGCCTGAAAGGAGCGATACACAAACCAGTCAGAAGACATTAAAGAACCGATTGAACGAGTAGAGACGCCACCACATCTAAAATCTCTTCTCTTCCGTCTTCTGTCAACGTTATCATTGTTATTTTGAAACATATAGCTCAGAGTGTTGTCACATATGCAAAGTCATTTCTCGAAATAGAAAACTGTCTGTTCCACGTACAGGAGTTGCCATTTTTGCGAAATCTTATTTTTGTCATCAACACAGCCAACATGTGGTTTGGTAACAGGATGATGCAGGATCTGTGTTCACACTATGTGGTTTGTGTGAATGGAAATTAAACACACTTACAAAAATATAGCTAGCAATCTAATATAATTTATCCCCCCCCCCCCGACCCCCGCCCACTCCCCGCAACAGCCAGCATCTTGTCAGAAGAAGCTTTTTAATCAGACACATGCAGGAGCCCTTGTTTGTCGGATGAAAAGAGAATGAAGAGTCTGACAGGGAGGAAGAGGAAAGGGCGGGGGTGTCGAACAATTGCCATGAAATGAAGTGTCGTCAAAGCCAGTGCTTAGCTGAGCATAAAACAGTCAGGAGGGGATGATTTATTGTCATGGCCAGAACAAGAGCTCTGTTCTGTATGCATATTGTATGTGTTCTGATAGAGCCGTGGTCCTGCCACTGAGGAGAGTTTTTTTGAAAATCCCAATAAAACCCACAGAGGCTTACAAACCGAAGCTTCAGATTTTCGACTGCTTCTTCGTCTCATTCCGCCCTGTGCCTTTTTTCAATAGTCCCATTTCTATGGCAAGTCCTTAAGACTCTTCCACCACGTACTTTTTCAAGATTCAGTACCTTAATCCGTTCCGTTCGTCCCTTTTCTTCCCTCTCTGCAAGGACACTCCTTCGTATTCTGTCCCATTCCTTTGACAGTCGCACCTTCCTCTTTATCGGCATGACCCCCACTCTCTTTTTTCACCATTGAGGAAGTCAAGGCAGCTTCCCATCATGTTCTCCGAGTTACAAGAGTCTGAGGATAAAGTGACTTGACGTGTGCCTTGTTTGCCAAAAGAATGAGCTGACCGGGTCCTCGCCTAGGTACAACGGCATGCTTGACACACTCATTTGTCACGACCACAGTGGTTGACACACAACACTGTTCTGGCTTCCTCTCCAAGTATCTCCCTACTCTCTCAGCACTGCAGCTGGAGGGGGAGCACAGGCACAAAATG